TTATTAATTTATTAAATAATGAAATATTGAAAAATTAAATAAAGGATAAAAGTAATGGTAGGGAAGATAAAAATTTGAGTTAAAAATCTAGAGTTAATAAAATGATATAAATTATATTATTAAACTAATTAATATATATTATTATATATCTCAAAAAAATAAAAAAATTAATAATTAAATAATATAAAATTTATATTTTAATATTTTAAATGATATAATTTATATTTCATTATTAAATTTAAATTTTAATCCTAGGTTTCACAAGGATAAAAAGCAACCCGTCGACAGATCGAACCAGGACCCTGACGGAGGACGTAACCCGACCCGGATCTTCCTCCGTGGAAAACCGGACAAAAATATCGAGTTCCACAGAAACATCACGTTTGGGAGTTTCCCTTTCTTCAAGCAAACACGCTCAAAGCCCAAATCTTCCATTCCCTCCGATCTTCAGAACCTATTCCATCATGCTCACAGGTTCGGATGCGGATGCTTCCAGTTCCTCGCTAATCGTTTCTAACTGATTCTTAATCAATGCCTTCATCTGGGTTTTTCGCTTCTCAATTTTTGATTAATGGAGCTGCTAAAGCTTTATCATGTGGCTTTTTTTTTTTTTTTTTTGAATTTCTCGAACTGGGTTATTGGGGTTTATCGATTTATATCTACCCTTTTAGGATTTCTTCCATGGGTTTTGATTTCTTTTGGTATTAAGTTGTTAGTAAGTCAATGATTGGGTCTATGGTATCGGCGGTTGAATGATTCTAGTGTGAGATCGTTATGGTTGGTTTGGAGTCAAATTGTTTACGTGTTTTTTTGGGGTGAAATAAAAAACGCATTGTTAAGTAACCAACTGATTTAGGAATTGTGATAGTATGTATGCAGTTGCCAACTATTGAGCTATAGATGTTGAATATTGTATAATTCAATGCAAAATGTTAATTTTTAGCTTCCAAAAACATGGGTTATTTCTTTCAGAAGTAAAAAAAAAAAAAAAAAATTAGAAGCTGCTCGTTATTATTGAAAATGGAATTTCACTTTGTAGCTTATGTAGGTAAGGCAGCATTTTTAAACCTTCAATGATGCCTAAAGAAATATGATTAAAGTAATGGTATACATGTAAATTTCAATTTGATCCCAAAGTCTCATCTTTTATGTTTTAAGCTGCATTCTATTTTTTCTTTTTCTTTTTTCTAATTTTTTTGTTATTTTTCAAAGGGAAATAGGGTTCGGGAATGATCTAAGTTCTGCCTTTGGTGGTTAAGGCTTTTGGTTCTTATGTTTTTGTTCTGTTAATTATCTCTCTTAACAACTTCATTTTTGTTTGTAGTAAGCGTAAAATGGCAAAAGCAGGTGTTTTCAAATGTTGAAATCGACACTAGCCAGCCTCCTTATGTTTTCAAGTGCCAGTTGTATGATCTCACTGGAGTCCCTCCTGAAAGGCAGAAGATTACGGTGAAAGGTGGTCTATTGAAGGTACAGGATTTTGACTATAGTGTAGAAACTAATTGATGCATTATGTGTTAAACTTTATAGCCCACAAAGTACAATGCTTGCCCTAAATATATAGATTGATGAGGTTCTGCTTGTGCCTCTTACATAATCTCTTTCTTTAAATAATGCAGGATGATGCTGATTGGTCAACTGTTGGAGTAAAACAGGTGATAGATCCGATGGTTTTTGCTCTCTTAGTCCTTGTTTCCCTGACACCCTTTCATAACAGTTAATTTATATATGGTGTCTCTGGTTTTTTTTTTTTTTCCTCAAGGGTCAAAAATTGATGATGATGGGAACTGCAGATGAGATTGTGAAGGCCCCAGAGAAGGGACCTGTTTTTGTAGAAGATCTTCCTGAAGAAGAACAAGTTGTAGCTTTGGTGAGGAGCACTGACTTTATTCCCCAATTCTCTGCAGATGAGATTCCTGTTTTTGTAGAGTTTAGTTAATTTGATTGGTTGCCACAGGATTACATTTTGGTTTTTCGAATTTATTTCTTTCTATTTGGTTGAAATTTAAGACTCTGACCTGGCAACATTTGTGCTTCCAGGGTCATGGTGCTGGCCTATTAAACTTGGGAAACACCTGCTACATGAACTCTACGGTACAATGCCTGCATTCAGTTCCAGAGTTGAAATCTGCTTTACTTAAGTAAGTTATCTTGTACTCTTCAGAAAAATTTGCAGGCCCCATTTACATGCTTTTCAGGTGATGATGTAACATGCAATGTATTTTCTGAGCTCAGCTATTCAACTTCTGGAAGAAGCAATGAGTTGGATCAGACTTCTCATATGTTGACGGTTGCAACACGTGATTTGTTTAGTGAACTCGATAAAAGTGTCAAGCCTGTGGTACCAATGCAGTTTTGGATGGTTTGTTTCCTTCCTGCTTGTAAAGTGCTTAGGATGTAATAGATGAAAGATAACTTTTTACTGGATAGCTTGGGTTGTATTCATATTGGAACTCACTAAAGAAAAATCTTCTTGAAAATAGTTGAATGACATACATCATCTAACATAGCTGGGTGATTATATCAAGCTTAGCTAATTTTCATATTTTCAATGCTTGAGCTTCAAGTTTTCTCTGTGTTGTCATCTGTCCTTTATCTGTCACACTCTGCTGACATATGCAACATTCTGATTTTATCATTTGAGTGGGGGAGATTGGGATCAAGGACAACAGCACATTTCCTTTTTATATTGCAAATTGGTTGCTGAAAACTTTTTAAGTGTGGAAAACTTACCATTTGTTGATGTTGGGTGCAGGTATTGCGTAAAAAGTATCCTCAATTTGGCCAATTGCACAATGGCGTCTTCATGCAGCAGGTTCCTTTTTTTTCCAATTGGCCATCAGCTGAGCATATAGTTTTTCTGTTTTAGATCTTTCAGAAGGTTGATATTTCTGATTTCAATTTGCAACAGGATGCCGAAGAATGTTGGACGCAACTGTTGTACACCCTTTCTCAATCACTTCGATCACCAGGCTCCAGGTACTTTGGTTTTTACATACATTAAGAAACAACAATAGTATCTTTGGTGATTGGAATGATATAAACAGAAGCATGCTATTTTATCTTTGTTTTTACTCAAACCATTTTGCACATGGTTGAGTATATTTTTGGTTAAGCAGTACTGTCTGTATTAACACTTTTACTCTATTTTACCTTTATGCTATACTCTTCTAATCTTGATAACCAACATCAATTTATTATTATAACTTTTTTGTGTTATTTATTTCTTTTTTTTCTTGCAGCGAAAATCCTGATACTGTGAAGGCCCTCTTTGGTATTGAACTTGTAAGCAGGTGGAGTATTTATTTACAGCTTCTATTATTGAGCTTTACTAGAATGAAATTATAGTCTGAAGGTTAGGTAACATATATTATTGTATGAAGTTCTGCAACTGTTTGGTTATTTGTTGATGCCTAATATTTCTTTATAAATGCAGAAAAAAAAAAAAAAACACTTTTAGATAATCATTTTTGCTTATTGAATCTATTCAATGTATGCACATCTTTTCTTTCTGTTTCTAAGATTGCCCATTTATCTTTGTGTCCCTATATTTGGACTTGTAGATCTTTCATTCCCCTTCCATATCTGGCTAATTCATATTTCAAATTATTTATGCTCTTGTAGCATCAAAAACTACTGACAATTTATCCATTTGGTTCTCATGTGTCTTTCTACCTTATTAAACATGGTTGAAATGATTTAGGGTGGTTGAATGTGTCACCTGTATTGCTGGCTATGCAAATATCTACAAAGAATAGTCACTAACAAGAAGAAAAGTTGTAATTTATAAAACTATAATACATGTTTCATATAGAAGGTCAATTACACGACGGAGCAGACATGAACTACTGAGAAAATTTGAACTATAACGTGTCACTAAACAATACATATAAAAGTATAAAAGTACATTACTGTCTGAGAAGGGTCAAACCAAAAGAACAAGTTTAAAGGTCAACTATGCTAGATTATGAAAATGCTATTTATCCTCTATTTTTGTCTGCATCAAAGTCTTGTTTAGCAAGTAGAGGCTTTAGACTAATTACTGTTCTAATATTATTGAATTTGCATGATTGCCAGGATACATTGCCAAGAAAGTGGTGAAGAAAGCTCTGAGAGTGAATCAGTTTATTCTCTTAAATGCCACATTTCACAAGAGGTGAACCACTTACATGAGGGACTGAAGCATGTAAGCACCATAAACTATCTAGTTTGTCACCCTTTTTATCTTTTGGCAAGAGGTGAACCACTTACATGAAGGACTGTTTATATGGTCTGGACATACTTATTTTCAATGAGATGATAACTTTTTAATCTTACTTTTTAACCTTCCTTGAGAATATTCTATCATTTTTGTACTTTTCATAACCATTGTAGTTGCTCCTACTGATGTGTTAAAAAGAATGAAGAACTGATTCTCAAAGCCCTCTGGGTGATGATTGGATTTAAAATTTCTTTAAAATAATGTAACCCTGTTTTCTTGAGTGGGATAGCTGTCCTAGCTCTCAGTCACACTACTAGTGCAGATAAACCTTGGGTAGTCCATTGAAGATTCTGTTTTTTGAGCCCCATATTGGTCAATAAGATTTCTGTTTCCATATTCAGGGTTTGAAATCAGAGTTGGAGAAGGCTTCTCCTGCTCTGGGTCGCAGTGCCATTTACTTGAAAGAGTCCCGTATAAGTGGCTTGCCAAGGTAACTAATAGCTTCAATTTATGATTCTTGCAATTTCTTTATTATATTCTTTGTGGTTTGTAGCTTACTAGTTTGCTTTAATGTTGTCTGAGGTTTCTTTCCTGATCTTAAATCCTATCACGGGCGTGCCATTCTGTTTTTATGCTTCACTCTCATTTATCCAACATCCTTTTCAAGGAGAAGAAAATCCTTTTTTCTTTTTTTCCCCTTTAGAGGAACAAATTCTGGATTCACGGACTTTCCATGTTAAAGGTACTTGACTATTCAGTTTGTCCGCTTCTTCTGGAAGAGGGAATCAAATCAGAAGGCCAAGATATTGCGGGTATGTAAATGTTGTCTTCTTGTCAGATGGTTATGGTATTTTCATTCATGTCTTGGTTAATTAACTAGATCTTAGGTGACTCAAGAAAGGTTTGTAATATATTGAAACTCATATTGGATATCCAGTTCATCACTAGATGTGTTTTACTGTTTTTGCTTTCCAGAAAGTTGATTATCCACTTGAGTTGGATGTTTATGATCTGTGTTCTGATGATCTTCGCAAAAAGCTAGAAGCTCCTCGCCAGGTACCTACTTGCCTTTTGGATTTTTTATTCTAATTCAATTTTGAATGATGTGTTATTGATCACAAGATCCCAACCTAGATTCTAAGGGATGAGGAAGGCAAGAAGCTTGGTCTGAAAACAAATGAGAAGAGCTCTGGTTCAAAAGACAATGATGTCAAGATGACTGATGCAGAGGTGACTAAATTATTTAACTATCTATTCACATTTGAAAATATCCAAGAATGGGAGGACATGTTTGATATTATTTAAGAGTATTTCGTGCAGGGAACATCAAGTGCTAGTGGAGAACCATCTGCAACGTCTCAAGAAGGTAAAAATCTTCAACCAACCTACTTCAAGGAGTTTCTTATCCATTTTAGTGAAGCATTTGGATGACGTGGTTTGAAGTAAGATAACCTAAGATGCATGTACAATGAAACCAGTTTGTAGCCATCCATGAATGAAGTTACTCATTTTCTTTGCTTCTTTCATGGCTCAGGCAATGGATCTGCCAAGGAAACTCATTTAACTGGAGTTTATGATTTGGTTGCCGTGCTAACCCACAAAGGTAGAAGTGCTGATTCAGGGCATTATGTTGCCTGGGTCAAGCAAGAAAACGGTCAGTTTTCTGGAACCATCTCTTCAACATTTCTTTTGTATATTACCTAGTTCATGTTTATTTATCATTGAACTACACTAATTGGTGACAGGGAAGTGGGTTGAGCATGATGACGATAACCCTACTCTCCAGCGAGAGGAAGACATAATCAAACTGTCAGGAGGAGGTAATCTAAACCCAACCTCTAAAACAATTGTAAGATTTCCATTTTTATCTTTTTCTAATGGATATCTAATTTGGTTTTAGGCGACTGGCACATGGCGTACATCTGCATGTACAAGGCACGTGATGTTACCATGTAAGATAGGCTTCAATCTATGGTGTCTCAATTTTTTTTCATTACACAGAAACCCTGTTGGTAGATTGAGAGTTGTGATTTTACATTATTTTCAGAACTGTATTGTACTGTTAAAAAAATATACTTGTGTTTAGGAACTGGGGTTTTTATGACTTGCATTTGAATTAATATTTAAAATCCAAAGGACATGAAATTTCCTTTTGAGAACTCTCATTCATTGGTCTGCAGCTGTGTGTGGATGCCAAAACGAAAAACCGAATTCAAATCTCAGCAATTCTTTTATATGTTTTAATCCATCAATGCAATTAGCCATTCATTATGATAAAAAAAGAGAGTTAAAATGCTACACAGGAATATGGTTGTCATAGATTTTTGGTTTGATTCTACACCTCACTAGACAAGAAAAAGTCTTCAATACAATTGTTATAACATGTATGGTTCTGTCAGGGTGTGTGTGTGTGTGTGTTTTTTTTTGACAAGGTATCATGAGAGCTTGAACCCAGTTCCAAAGTGGAGAGGTGAACTGCACCTTAACAAGGTGACAATAGTAACTCTGTCAGGGTGTTTTACGTGCTATCTGATGTGAAACTGTCATCTCAGCAAATCTTGATACAACTTTTTTGGCACAATGTGAGAGACTGGCTATTCTCATTTATGGTGGCTTGGGTTATGAATACGAGTGTCTGCATGTTCTGTTCTCATTTATGTTGGCTATATAATTTGCAATCTTTGAGGCGTTTCTCTGTAAAGATCTCCACAAAATCTCCCATAAATAAAAATCATCACATTATAAACATTGAAAGCTTAACAAATCTAGTCTCTGTCACTTCAAACACTCAAAGCCCACAAAATCAGAAATGCAAAACAGAACTGGGTATCTGTTCCTACGCATCGAAAGATTGTTGGTTTTGATTTGGTCAGTGAAGAGTTTTACAATGTGCCTATCCTGAGTATGACTATGGCAGCCCTAGACGGTCTTACTGTAGCTGCTAGTTATAAGAATGGTTGTGTTGATGTGTGGGTTATGAAGGAGTACGGAGTCAAGGATTCTTGGATTAAGGCAATTTCTATGATGCAAGAAAAAGTACCTCGTTCTTCTTCTATAAATAATATAGAAAAATTCGAAGTGTTTCCTTTGGCATACTCAAGAGGCGGTGACAAATTGTTAGTTAATTGGCGTGGTAATTTGTTTTGGTATGACTTGAAAAGTGAAGAGGCTGAGTTTGATGATGGACAAGGCGTTTTAGTAGATGGAAATGTGAAGATAATAACTGCGAGTCTTGTTTCACTTGAGGACAGAAGTGAAGTTGATGGGAAGAGGAAACAAATTGTTGTGGAAGATGAGAATTCCAAGAATAACAAAAAGAGGTACCATTTGTTGCTTACTATATGTTTAATTTCTTCGTTATGTGTGAACCTTACCAATTGGAATTCTGTATATATATCACTGTGTGAACCTTACTACAGTATGATGGTGCATAAATTGATTGCCCCTTGTTCTTTATAAACGGGAAAATTCTCAGGAGGAACAAGAGGCAAGAAGTGAGGATGCTTGAAGATTAGGTAAATAATGCTCTTGCTCAAGTTTTTTTCTTTGCTTGTAAGTAGTACTTGTTTTGAAAATATTTCTGGTACCCTATTTTGCATGTGCCGATGAAATGTAGCCTGGAAAACAATATTTGAAGTAGGAAACAAAAAATATTTGATGTTTCTATATATATATATATATATATATATATATTTTAACTGTACCTTTTTTGTGTTTTCTCTCAGATTATTGCAGGCAAATAGTTGTGGTTGGACATATTTGATGGTCTGAATCGGAAATGGAGAAGAGAAGTGCTGGGAATGCTTTGCCTGAATTTTTTTGTTTTATATATGCTTTGATTCTATTTCATATATTTTGTCTGTTGAAGCCTACTGCATTAATTTGTGTGTGTTTATATCGCATGCCTATTGCCTATGTGGAAACAAACTTCTAGTGAAGTTCTTTGTTTGATGTTCCGCCCCTTTCTCAAAATTCCTGTGCAAATATGTTTTATGAAGGGCTGAAGCATGTCAATTGAAATTAAAAATATATATTTCTCTATTAAATCATTTTTGACTTGTAACTAGTTGGGTAACTTTACGAATTATGGATGAGTCATAAATCAAAAAGTATTGAACTGTTGGTCCGAACTTGTTTCTATAGGTTGGATTCACTTTTACTAGGTAAACTAGCTAACTTGTCATGGTCCTTGACCGGAAACATATTACTACCTCCATTCACTAGAAATTGTTAAAAATTATTGTTGGAAAAGTAGCTTTAACTTAAATCTTTTTATTATAATTTGTGACATTTTAATTAATTCAGAGCAGCTTCATTTGCTTTTAAAAAAAAAACAAACAAACATAGAACTTTCTCATCTAAGTCCCTTGGTCTTTTTTCTCGAGAATCATGAATCTGGTTTGAATTGGAAACAAAGAAAGAAAATCACATCCAAATATTTTAGTTGAAAACAAAGAAAGGTATTCTCTTCCACCTACTTATAAGCTTTCCATTTCAACCAAAAAAAAAAAAAAAGAGTTAACTTATTTAAAGAAAAGGTTGGATAAAGACCAGTTCATTTGGATCCTTTAAATGCTAAGTTCACTTTCCTCATCTCGCTTTTTTCTCCCTTGTTTTTTGTTTTTTTTTGAAAGGCAAAAAATACTTTTATTTTGAGTACAAGGGGTATTCAAACCCATTTACATAACATTTATAGTGCTTATGTACCTATGCACTTAAGCACTAACATTACATAGATGGGGATTGAGGAGCTAATTTGAGAAATCATACCTCAAAACCTTCCCTCTATTTGTCAACCAATGAAAGGACCTTATTTGAACTAAATCAAATATCCTATTTATATCCACCACTTTATGGTTGAACAAAATCTCATTTTGAGTGAGCCATACAGTCCATACCATAGCAAACCACACAACCTCCCAACCAATCCTCATTTGTTTGGACACTGCAATACCATCATGGTTGATAAAGACATCCCAAACATTACTAGCCAACACAGTTTGAACATCCCACCAATTCAAGGATTTGTTCCAGATTTCGACAGTGACTTTACAAGTAAGAAATAAATTATCACAATTTCCATATATTCCTAGCAAAGGAAACACACCACTTTTGTAGGATCCTTGATGATGCCTCTCTTGAATGAATTGGTTTTAGTGGGTATTTTATTTAAAAGTAGTTGCCAATTAAAACAACACCTTTGTAGGGGTGTTTGGATTCCATACTCTTCCAAAGACATACTATGACTCTTCTCTTGTGTGGTAGTAAGATTGGAATAACTTGATCTTGTTGTGTAGCAACCATCCATGCTAAATTTCCAATCACACTTATCGTTTCGTCCTTGATATAGATTAGTCAATTCCAGCAACTTTTCTAATTCCTCTTTTGCTTGGGATTCTCTGTCTAGCAAAGAACGTCTCCATGGTAATGTCTAGCACCATTTATCCTCGATCCAAGCTCCCATTTGCTTAATTTTGTAGTCCATACCTGCACAAAGCATATAAAGCCTTGGAAATCTATGAGCTAGGACACTCTCCTTACACAATGAATCCCACTAGAAGCTTACTTCTTCACCATCTCCTATTATTATCTTGAAACCATTTGATAACCACTCATTTCTATTTTCTCCCAATACATCTATCCTACAAACATCGTTCCACCAACTAGAGCCCTTCCCTCTACCATCCTTTACCCATGACATCCAACTATCATTCTCAGCACCATATTTTTCCTTAATTAATCTACTCCACAACCCCACCTCCCCCTTAGCAAGCTTTCCCCACCACTTACTGAGCAAAGAAAGATTAAAGGTCGTAATGCACTTAACTCCCAGACCCCCTTCATGTCAACCTTTACAAATCTTCTCCCAACTGACCCAATGCACTTTCCTTGTTTCCTCACAAACCCCCCCTAAAAAATCCCTCCTGATTTTTTCAATAATTCTCATAGCACTTTGTGGTGCGAGGTAAATAAACAGTAAGAAAACTGGCAATGATGTAAGAACAGAGTTTAGAAGTGTTATTCTACCTCTAAACGATAACCATTTCCCTTTCCAACTTAACAGCTTCTTCTTCATGGAGTCCACCACAGCTTGCCAAAAAGAAAGCCTTTTGTGATCCCCAACCAATATTCCCAAGTATTTGAAAGGAATCTCACCAATCTGACAATTTAGCAAATATGACATTCTGAGTGTCCACTCCTCTTCCATATTAATGCTTAACAATTGACTCTTTGAGAAATTTATCTTGAGTCTAGACACAAGCTCAAAAGTTCTCAAGATGCACTTAGCAGCCCGCACATTGCTCTCTACAGCCTTCCCAAAAAGGATTGTGTCATCAACAAGTTGAATATGTGAGAAGCTTTCACCATTATTCCCTACAACCAACCCTGAAATAAATTTTTCCTAATGGCAGAATGAATGAGTCCATTTAACCCCTTTGCCACCATCAGGAAAAGGAAAGGGGAAAGGGGGATCACCTTGTTTCAATCTCTACTTATTGTAAAATTCTTGATTGGGCTCCCATTTACCAGAACTAAAACCCTATTGGTTTGGAGACACTCCAAAATCCATCCTCTCCATGTCTTGTCAAACCCAAATCTACTCATCATATAATCCAAGAATGACTAACTCACTTTGTCGTAAGCCTTCTCAAAATCCATTTGCAAGATAAAACTATTAAGTTTATTCCTTCTAGCTTCATCAATGATCTCACTAGCCATGACCACAGCCTTTGTGAGCTGTCTTCCCTCAACAAAGGCCATCTGATGCTCGCCGATAACATAGCTTATAACTTCCTTGAGTCTGTTAGCTAGTAATTTTGTCACTATTTTGTACATTGCACTGATCAAAGAAATGGGCCTATACTCTTCAATTTTCTATAGATTGCTCACCTTTGGAATAAGTGTTATAAAAAAGGCATTTAAACCGGAAACCAACTTCCCATTGTTCTAAAATTCCTATAGGAACCCAACCACGTCCCCCTTTATGGTCCCCATAATTCTCTAAAAAATTTGAAATTGAACCCATTAGGACCAAGAGCCTTCAAACAATTGCAATCCCACACTGCTTTTTTTATTTCATCCTCTGAAAAAGAGGTTGTTAGCGTTGCAGCTTGTTGAGGAGAAATTTGTTTGAAGTCCATACCATCAAGAACATATCTCACCTAGTTTTCCTCTTGAAATAACAAAAAGATTGATTGGGTTAAATGGGAAAGCGTGTGTAGAGGGTAGGAAGAGGGAGGCTTACGGATTAAGGATTTTACGTGCTTCAATTTTGCCTTTTTGGGAAAATGGTGGGTTAAATTATCTCAAGACTCAGGTTCCTTGTGGGCTAGAGTGATTGGTGAAAAGTATGGAAGAAAGGCGAGAAACTGGATTAGTATGTTGGAGGAAAGAAAGGGAAGAGGCTCTGTTTGGTGGCAAATTATTAGGAAGCTAAATAGTGTGGTGGTAGGAAAGGAGGGGTGGTTGTTAGACAATGTAAAGTTAGAATTAGGAGAGGGGAAGAGGGTTAGTTTTTGGCATGACAACTGGTTAGGGGTAGGAGTTTTATCTAACATATACCCAAGATTATTTCTTCTCTTGACAAGTCAACAAAATATGGTTAACCAAATGGGCACATGGTCTGATGGCCATTGGAAGTGGGACTTAAAATGGAGGCATAATCTTAGAGAATGGGAGGAGAAACTAGAATTTCACTTGCTTGGTGATATTTCCTCAACCCAATGTAGATAATGGATCAAAGACAGATGGGACTTGAAGTTGGACAGCATCCATAGATACTCTACTAGTTCGGCTTACAAACTCTTAAAAGCCTTAAACCACAGAGCTGATGTAGAAATCTTTATGAAAGTTTGGAATCCACTGATCCAAAGTAAAGTTAATGTTATGGTGTGGCAGTTAATCCAAAATAAATTACCAATTAAATTTGAGTTGTTTAAGAGGGGGGTCCTGAATAGCTACAACATGACATCATGCTCCCTATGTAAAGAGGAAGTTGAGACCTCCAGCCACTTATTCTTACATTGTCGAGTTGCATATTTGTTATGGGGCATGCGCTTGAAGTGGTGGGGATTGCAATAAGTTAGACCAAGAACTTGCTAGGAAGCTTTCTCTCAACATCTCGAACTAATCGAAGATAGGAAGCTTTTAAAAGAATGGGAGACTATTTGGTTTGTGTATGTTTGGTCTTTATAGCTAACTAGAAATAGTTGTGTTTTCAAAGGGAAGGAACCAGATGCTCAAAAGGTGTTTGACTGCATCCAAATCAAATCATGGGAATGGTTGAAAGCAAAGAGCAAGAACTGGTCATGCTCATTGATAGATTGGCTATTAACACCAAAAAATTATCTAAAATACAATGGGTAGCACATGAACTACACAGGGGTATAGGCAGTTCAATTATCAAAAGACACTAGAACTAAGATTTAATGTAAGTATTTATGGGTTGGAATAACCCTTGTACTCTAAAATAATAAAATTTTTGCTTGCAATTCAAAAAAAGTTTTCCTCTTGAAATAATTTTTGGAAGTGTTCAACAATCCCGTCCTTTACTTCTTGTACTCCTACAAGCTATTTGCCGTTAATTTCCATACAATTAATTTCATTTCTTCATTGTTTGCTCTTGATACATCTCGCTTTTTTCTCCTTTATGCATAAACTTAGGAGAAGGAAGAAGACTGAGATTGGAAATATATTTTGCTCTCAAGACTTAGATCAAAAAGAAATTTGTGAGATTGTTGAAAGGAAGAAAAAAAAAAAAAAACTTGAATGGTCCTAAACATATGAATTTCATAATATATAAACATTTAAGTAATCATTTACATAAATTGAAAAGGAAAAAAATGTCTACAAAGGACCACCTTAGTCTAGGCAGTTTCACAAATCCATGTTCAAAAATGTTAGTTGATTGCTTTAATTGAATAGTCCATATATAAGACATGCAATTATAGTTCACAAAATGGAAAGAAGATTGCTTGATGATAGAATGTAAAATGAAAGACAAATAGAAAGGAGAGTAATTAGCCATAATACTTTGGCAATTTAAATGGAAAAAAAAAAAAAATGATGAATAATCTATTTAAACAAAAGAGACTAACAAAGTATTTGTTCTTGATGATAGGTTTCTCATGACATAGCACAATTATCATGTTACAATAATTCTTCATCTAAAAACATAAAACCTCTTACTTGTTAGGATTTTAAATTAGAGATACTGCTGACACAGTGTCCCATTTCAACAAATCTTTTGCTACATCAATAGTGAACCTAACATAGCCAAATTCCTTATGACAGGGATGGTGATTTCTTTTGTGAAACTTAAAACCTCTTACGTGTCCAGTTTTTGTTGGTAGAAAATGCTACTAATATGGTACTCATTACACTAACTCTATGTTTGGTTTGAGGGGGAGGAAGGGGAGGAGGAGGGAGGAGAGGGGGATTTTTCCTCTCCATTTCCTTCCCATCCCCTCCTCTCTTGTGACCTATTTGGATAAATAACTAAATTAAAAAAATAAAGTAAATGAAATTTTTTTCCTAACCTCTAATTTTTTATGATAATCAAATAAATAATTTTTCTCTCCCCTTTATTTCCCTCAATCTAAACATACTATAAAGAATTTTCTTAGAAGGGAGAGAAGGACAGCAAAGACACTATTCATAAACGAAATAAAAAAAAAAAAGGAAACAAACAATGAAAATCCCACGTCCATTAAGAGCTCAGATTCAGTTTGGATTCCGCAAGCAAATCCTTGGATATCAAGTAACTCCTACCAATATTATAATAGGAATGATATAAAAGACGAAAATTTGGACCAGAATTTGGACCTTCATATTAGTAAATAGAAAAGTCTAGCGTCAAATTAAACCCTAACCTTGGTTTAACGTCTCAGAGTCTGCCGAATCACTTGTTAGAAAAAACAATGTCGAGCTTTCCATTGGATTTAAGCACAGAAATCCTCCGCCGTTTGGCCGTGAAGGATGTTTTTCGCCTCCGGTGCGTTTCAAAGCTATGGTGCTCCCTAATTGACACTCCTTGTTTCCGCAAGCTCCATGTCTCCCTTTCCCCCAAATCCGATCCAAATCTATTAGCTATCTTCCAAGAAGATGAGAGCAACTTGATAAAGTTCCTAGACTTGGAATTCCCATCACTTCTTTTCCCTAGAATCATACCTAACCAACCTCGCGACGACACAAATAGCATTCTGGGTTCCTGCAACGGGTTGGTAGCTTTGTGCAATGAAGTGAATACCATTACTCTCTGGAATCCCTTCACCGGATGATCACAAAAATTGCCCCAAAATAATGTGGTTTTCCCAAAAGCATCGTCGTGATAAGTCAGTTGTTTACGGATTTGGTTACGACCCTACGACGGCTGATTACAAATTGCTCAAGAGTGCACATTTCTTCTACAAAAAATTGCCCAAGAGAGCACAAAAGTACTACAACTTACATCTTTGTCGCGCTCTCTACTGGAAAGCTGAGATTTATAGTCTCAAGACTAATTCTTGGAGGGAAATTAGTGGCTGTCCATTTAATTGTGGTTTGGGTGGTTTCGACGATGTTGCTGGAATTCTTGCTGAGAATGCATTGCATTGGTTAACTCAAAAATACAAACCAAAACCGGTGTCTCTACGTATTCCTAGGCATCAAGAGATTGCTGGTTTTGATTTGGTAGGTGAAGAATTTTATAGTGTGCCAATTCTAGAGTGCTTTTATGGGGCATTTAGTATGACTATGGCAGCCCTAGACGGTCATCTTTCTGTAGCTGCTAGTTATACAAATGGTTGTGTTGATGTGTGGGTTATGGAGGAGTACGGAGTAAAGGAATCTTGGAATAAGACAATTTCTATGATGCAGGAAGAAGTACCTAATCATCTAATTTATTCGATAAATGACATGGAGAAATTCAAAGTGTTTCCTTTGGCATACTCAAGAGGGGGTGACAAATTGTTGGTTCATCGGCGTGGTAAGATTTTTTGGTGTGACTTGAAAAGTGAAGAAGCTGAGTTTGATGATGGAGAAGGCGTCTTAGTTGATGGAAATGTGGAGATAACAACTGCAAGTCTCGTTTCACTTGAGGACTACAGAAGTGAAATTGATGGGAAGACGGAACAAATTGTTGTCGAAGATGATAATTCTAACAATAACGAAAAGAGGTACTGTTGTTACTTATTACATGTTTAATTTCTTCATTATGCGAACCTTAATAATTGGAATTCTGTATATATAGTACTAAGTGAACCTTACGACTGTATGATGCCCCAGAAATTGATTGCTCGTTGTTCTTTTTAAATAGGAAAATTTCTCAGAAGGAACAAGAGGCAAGAAGTGAGGATGCTTGAAGATTAGGTAAATAATGCTCTTGCTAAAGTTTGTTTCTTTGCTTGTAAATACTTGTTTTGAAAATATTTCTTGTACCCCCTGTGTTTTCTGCTTTGATTGGATGCCGAGGAAATGTGGCATGGAAAACAATATCTCATAGGAAAGAAAAAAAATATTTGATGTTTCTATATTTCTATGTTTACTATACCTTTTTATGTTTCCTCTCAGACTACTGCAGGCAAATAGCTGTGTTCAGACATATTTGATGGTCTGAATCAGAAATGGGAAAGAGAAGCTGTGTTTACATCCCATGCCACTAGATGTCGTAATGAAGCGTCTATGGAAGTTGTGTTTGATGCTCCCCTCTTTATCATAATCCATGTGCAACTTTACCAAGGGCTCAAGCATGTTAATTGAAGTTAAAACTTTAAAAATATATTTTTTCTATTAAACGGTTTTTGATCCAAGACTAATTACGTTACCTTTACAAATCATCAATAGGTCACGAGCTAAAAAGTATTGCACTCTTAACCCAAACATATTTATAAGGATTAATTGGATTCACGTTTACACTAGTTTATTTGTCCTTGTCCTTCACTAGAAACATACTACTCCCTCCTTTTTTTAAAAGTTGTTATTGGAAAAATAGTTTAATAAATTAAAGTAAAAGAAAAGAGTGAAATTATTTTAAGTTTTATTTAGTATAATTTTTATTTTGATTTTTACATTTTATATATTTAAAAATTGTTACTATATTTTAAAATTAAAATTTATTATACAAACTAAACTTTTTAAAATTTAACTGAAATATATTATTAATTAATATTTAAAACATGAATATTAAAAATAAAAAATTTAAACCATACTAAATGAAAGCTTTATATTTTTTACATAAATAGAGCTTACTCGGAAACAAAGAGAGGTATTAATTCTTTTCACCTCTTTATGAACTTTCCATTTCAAACAAAAGGGGAGAGTTAGCCTATTTTGATCAAAATATATACAATAGAGTATAATTTTTTTTTAACAACTTACAATACAGTGTAATTATAAGCTAATGACAATGACCAATCAAAGAATTTATATTTATTATAAAGAAAATGTTGGATAAAGACTTTGCATTTCATTTGGATCCTTTTGACGGCTAACTTCACTCCTCACCTCGCTTTACCCCTTTATTTACAAACTAATAACAGAAAGTGAGAATAAAATTTATTTTAATAATTTTTTATATAAATTAATAATAAAAGTTATTATAAATACAATCTTAATGTGTGCTCGTACATATTAAAAAAATCTATTATTAAATGGAATGTATACAAAAAATTTATCAATTTTCATTTTAATTTAAAATAATGAATCTCAAACTGATCATTTAAATTTAATCATTTATTTTCAAATCTTAATATTTGATTTTAATTGGTTAAAAATTCAATTTCCATTAACTAACTTGAAAAAATTCCTCATTTCTCATTATTTTCTCGTGTTGAAAAATATATATATATATATATATATATAATGGACTCCTTTTTTATTTATCTCAAGCTTACAACAGTGCCCAACGAAAATCCCTCGTTCTTTAGGAACTCGAATTCTGTCCGGATTCGAAAGGCGAATCCTTGGCATCCAAGGGACTCCTGTCAATCTAAACACATAAATCTAGGGTCAAACTAAATCCTGACCTCCCTCTTACGTTTCAGAACTGCCGGATCTCTAGGAAAGAACAAAAATGTCGAGCTTTCCACCGGATTTAAGCAGGGAAATCCTCTGCCGTTTGGCCGTGAAGGACGTTGGTCGCTTCCGATGCTTTTCAAAGCTATGGTGCTCTCTAATTGACACTACTCCATGTTTCCGCAAGCTCCATCTCTCCCTTTCCCCCTAAATCCTACCCCAATCTAGCTATTAGCTATCTTCCAAGAAGATGAGAGCAACTTGATCAAGTTCCTAGACTTGGAATTCTCATCACTTCTTCTCCCTAGAATCATACCTAACCAACCTCGCGACAACACAAATTGCATTGTGGGTTCCTGCAACGGGTTAGTTGCACTGTGCAATGAAGGAAATATCATTACCCTTTGGAATCCCTTCACCAGAAATCACGGGAATTGCCCCAAATAACATGACTTTGTCAGAACCAAAGTATGATACCAAGTCATTTGCTTATGGATTTGGTTATGACCCTACCACGGCTGATTACAAATTGCTTAAGGGTGCGCGCTTCAACTACATCTACAGCTCAGATTATCCCACTTCTTGCTCGAAAGTTCTGATTTATAGTTTGAAGAGTAATTCTTGGAGGCAAATCAGGGGCTGTCCTTTTAATTGTGGTTGGCCAGAGAATGATCCTGGAATTCTTGCTGAGAATTCAATGCATTGGTTATTGCATCGAGAGATTGTTGGTTTGATTTAGTAGGGGAAGAATTTTATAATGTACCAATTCTAGACCGCTTCTATAGAGCATTTAGCATAACTATAGCAGCCCTAGACGGTCATCTTTGTATAGCTGCCAGTTATAAAACGGTAGTGTTGATGTGTGTGGTTTATGGAGGAGTACGGAGTCGAGGAATTCGGAATAAGGCAATTTCTATGATGCAGGAAAAAGTAATTGCTGGCCTTCTAGTGATGATATAGGGAAATTCAAAGTGTTTCCTTTGGCATACTCAAGGGGTGGTGACAAATTGTTGGTTCAACGGCATGGTATGACTTGGAAAGTGAAGAGGCTGAGTTTGATGATGGAGGAGTTTTAGTGGATGGAAATGTGAAGATAATAACTGCGAGTCTCATTTCACTCGAGGACAGAAGTGAAATTGATCGTGGGAAGAGGAAACAAATTGTTGAGGAAGATAAGAATTCTAAGAATAACAAAAAGAGGTACTAGTTATGTATTTAGTTTTGCATGATCTGTTTATAACTTTTAATTCGTATTTGATCAATGAGATTGTTAGAAAATTAGGATGTTTTGGTAATTAAAATATCAATATTTTTTATAAAATTATTTAAATACTCTTAATCAATTAATATAAAAAAGATTTATTAAAAATATTTAAATAATTTTAAAAAGAATCCTATTATTTTAAATGACATGATATCCTTATATTCACTTTTTTCTTTATCAATTTTGTATTAAATGGCTACTCTAGTTGAGAAAATTTTATCTTATGTTAATCTTTATATGCTGAGATTTAAAAGTCATATATATACTAAATTACTAATTGAAATTTGTTTATATAATTATGTGAACCTTACTACAACTGTATGATGCCCCAATAAATTGATTGCACCTTGTTCTTTATTAGGAAAAATTCTCAAAGGAACAAGAGGCAAGAAGTCAGGTTGCTTGAAGATTAGGTAAATAATGCTCTTGCTAAGTTTTGTTTCTTTGCTTGTAAATACTTGTTTTGAAAATATTTCTTGATTATACCCTATTTTGTCTGCTTTGATTGGATGCCAAGAAAATGTAGCATGGAAAACAATCTTTCATATAGGAAAGGAAAAACATTTGATATTTCTATATTTCTATATATTTACTTTACCTTTTTATGTTTCCTCCCAGATTACTGCAGGCAAATATATACTTGTGGTTGGACATATTTGATGGTCTGAATCGAAAATGGAAAAGAGAAGCATTGCTGGGAATGCTTTGCCTGAATTTTTTTATGTTTTATCTTTAGATTCTATTTCATAATTTTGTCCTATATATGAAGTCTACTACATTTCTCCGTGTTTATATCCCATGCCTATTGCCTAGATGTTGTAATAAACTTCTATGGATGTTCTTTGTTTGATGTTCCGCCTCTTCATCACAATCAATGTGCAAATATTTTACGAAGGCCTGAATTGAAGCATGTTAATTAATTGAAGTCTTTTTTTTTTTTTTTAATCTTGTGTTGCATAATAAAAAATAATATTTTTATATTTTTTAATTTATTCCATCAGTATATTACCAAACTTAGATTCTTTTTCCTTTCAAAAAAAGAAGAGATTATTATTGAATTATATTAAATAATTAATAAAAAAATGTGTATGTTTTTTTCATTAAACTAATTTTTTCCCAGAGACTAGTTAGGCAACTTCACATGTTATTAATGGATTACGGGTTAGAAAGTGTTAAACTATTGACCATAAACTTATTTCTACGAGTTGAGTTCACTTTTACTACAAAAAGAATAAGATTGAAACTGGAAATATTTTTTGCTCTCAAAACTTAGATAACGAAGAAAGTTCTGAAATTGCTGGAAGGAAAAGGGAAAAAAAAAAAAAAAAAAATTGAATGGTCCTAAAGATATGAATTTCATATATAACATAAAACACTAATCATTTACATCAATTGAAAAGGAAGAAAATGTCTAAAAA